TTTGTTTCCTCCCTCAGCCGTACTCTAACTGCGGTCCACGACGCCATCTTGGAGGACCTGGTGTTCCCTAGCGAGATCGTGGGTAAGAGGATCAGAGTCAAACAGGACTGCAGCAGGCTCATCAAGGTCCATCTGGACAAGGCGCAGCAGAACAATGTCGAACACAAAGTAAGTTCACATAAAAGCAGGTGGAGTGAACGTCTGAATGCCGTGATAACATGATTAGGGCTACAACGATGATTTTCTTTATTAATTAATCTGTTCTTTATTGTCTTGATTTTATGAAAACATCAGAAAATTGTGAGAAATGCCTAATGTGATGTCAAAGTAGTTTTTCCTCAATCGGTTAATGAATGAATGGACCAATCGTTGTGGCTCTAAACATCATCAGGGTTTGACAGCGATAAGCAGTAATAGGAAATATTAAACTTACTGATGCAGTACTGGAACCAGGAGTGCTTAGATCAGATGTTGCTGTTTGTGAAAGCAGCCACTTATATTCAGAAGTGATCAGTCCCCACATCTGTGCAGTCATTGGCTGCTGTTGTTATCCGACATGGACATCCAGTGAGGTTGCTCTCCTGGCTCTGTCCTGGTGGCGTATGGGAGCGTAGCTTTCCTGCTGAGACGTACAGTCCCGTTCCACAATGTCGGAGAGAAAGCTCTGTCCCCGGCTGCTGGTCGGTGAGGACGGGCGTCCTGCATATTCCTACATCTTCCCAGAGTCCCTTTGGGGCCGTTACTGGGGAGCTAAACCATGCAGTGCACAAACTCTGCCTCAGAAGATGTTCATGATCTTTTTCATTACAAATTGGTGTTTTAGTTTTCTCTCCTGGCGCCAAAGTGATAATGTGGTGACTTGTCATGTATTTCTTGTTTGACATTTTAATTACCAAATCAGGCGTAATCGGTCAAATGTAATTAAAATCTTAAGCTTTAGCCTTATTTCTGAAGCTGTTCCACCATGACAAGAAAAAAAGTATCTTATAATTCATACCACCAGTCATGAAATTGAGAAAATATTCAGTCTCTGTTGATGTGTCAAATCATTTGAACCCATTTACGCTGTAAAAAAAACATTGAGATACTGAAGTTGAACTGTTTTCTTTCGTTGTGTTTCAGGTTGAGACTTTCTCTGGTGTCTACAAGAAACTCACAGGCAAAGACGTCGTGTTTGAATTCCCAGAATTCCAGCTGTAAATGCAGATGACAAAATAAATTTGTTTACTGTCACTGTTGTTGTTGGTTGTTTTTACCTTTTTCCATGTATTGAAGAGGCTGCGCATAATTTTACAGCACAGAATAGTTGGTGTGGTCACAGGCACAAAGGTTGTTTGACTTTCATGGTGCAAAATATGTAAAGGATGATCTGAAATTTTAAAATTATTTCACTACAGACCAGCCTCAGCCTGTCTTGGATTTTGCTGTCATCCTCTGGCGCCACCTTCAGGTCAAATGAGATTTTTTTTTACTACCTTTGTAAGAGAGGAAGTGGTATTGGTCTATTCAGCTGCTGTTTTCTGGTGTGTAATGAGCATTATAGCATCACAGCATATTTTAAAGACTTTGGAAAATTTAGAATGTAGAATTTTCTTTATCAAGTTAAGATACTGAGCTCTAATGAGATGTAAATGTATGCTGAGATTTCCCCTACAAGCTATTTAATCTTAACACATTTTATTGCAAAAATTGAATTACAACTTATGATAAAATAATATAAACCTTATTAACAAACATAGATTATATTTTATACTAAGTGCGTGTTTAAAAACAATGTGATGGTGGTGACTGAAGAGCCAAAAAATGTGTTGCACTTACACATCAACCCTGTCAGTGTCATTAATAGACTCATCCTCATTGAAGTTGTCCTTAGACTAGGGTCATGCCAAATCATCCCTGTATTTGGGGATTTTTACTTAAAACCACATTAAGCAAGCATTTCCTACAACGACGTTAAATTCAATCGAAAAGTTATGCTAAATTATATGGCTAAGTATTACTTGACAGACCCAACACCTTAAACTAGTCCAGCTTTAACCATGTTTAGAAGTACACAATAAAATAGAGACCTGATTGACAGCACAGCAGGAATCACAGTTAACTGGTTAAAAGGTAACAATGAGCTGTGACCAAATCATTTTATACTTGTTAAAGATGTCTGACAATAAACAAATGTCAATTTAAAGAGACAACAGTGATCATGGACTGAAGAAGGCAACAAAGTGGAGGTTGAATCAATCAGCCATCTGTCAGTGAACTAAGTTTTCAGATCTTTTACTTAAAAATAATTCAGTTGTATGGAAAAGTAGCAATATCACAGTGACAATATGTTCTAAAGTAACAAAAGTACAAATGTCAGAGTGTATATTATCAGTGGATTATAAGTATTATTAGTGCATTAATGTCTACAACACTTAAATATTGCATCTGGTTAAGCTGGAGCTGATTTTAATGACTTGTGATACTACTATTTGTAGCCTGTGGATTTCTCCCTCCTGGGAATCACTGAAGTCTTATTTTCCCCTTTATCAATACATCATAATTTGTGAGTTGATTTAATTTTATATTATCTGTTGGAATCTTAAAAGAACTAAAGCTTTAGAGTAAATCAAAATTCAACCTCAAGTGGAGAAGCGTAAAATGGCAGAAATGGGAATACAAAAGTACCTTAAAATTGTTCAGTAGCTATTTGAGGAAATGCACTTAGGTACTTTCCACCACTACCGATCGTGCTCCCAGTCTAAGGGCATGTACAACCGCCATCTCCCAGGTGAAATAAATAAAAAGCCTTTACCAAACCAGAAGCTGCGCCTACTTCAGCTGTTCATAATGATGCATTCAGGTGCTGTCAGACTTTTTTCAACAGTTCAGTGTGAACATGGGATGCTACAGTTTTCTTATGCAACACTTTTCCTTGTTTTATTTGATAACATTAATTATTGTTTTGTAATATTGTAAGGGGTCACAGGACAGATCCAATGTGTTCATGGGAGAATTAAGGGCAGCAGAAAAATTCTGTTTTTGGTGCACCAAATTATGTTCAATTTTTCAGATTTTCCTTGTATCTGTAGAGCTTCTTTTTTTCAAGTGAATTACAAACATTGCTTTGTTTTCAAGGACCACAAGCCCCAAAAAGTTGGGAAACACACATCTTAGTCATGGTGGAAGATCTGTGGTTTTCCCAGAGAACCAATGTGTAATTACTAGTAATAAAATGCTTTTTTTTCTTGGTAAGTTGTACTTGAGTGTTTGGTGCTTAAAGTAAATTGAAATAATATAAACTTAAATTTGGATGAAAGACTTTGGTTGTAGTTTTGTTTACTGTCCTTTGGTGACCCCGCGATGTGTCCCCTAGATCTGCTTTTAGGACAAACATCACATTTTTATTGCTCTGTATGTTTATCTTCTCTGTCCAGCACTTTCAGATTGCAGAGCACAATGAATAATACTGTGTCTGTGTTGCGTGTTTTCACTCTCAGTTGATGTTTTTCCTCCCAACCAGCACAGCTCAGAGCCTGAAATGCTCTTCCCATGGGAAACGTCTGCAGACCCGAAAAAAGCCTAACAAGCCAACACCCAGCACACATGACAGAGTTGCTGTGGAGCTCAGAAGATGAAAGCTCTGATTAGAGACTGAGGGATTTTTAATGTGACAATCTGCCATGTGCAGGCTTTGTACCGCGCAGAAGAGGCCGGGCTGGATAAACACTGAACATACATTAATTTATAAGTCTTTGCACGCATTAAAAAAGATTTAAAGTCAGAATGACATGAAAAAAGCTTATTGCTAATTTGTCGTTCTGCTTTTGGTTTGTTTATATCCTTTGAAAACTGCAGCCCTTATTCTTTAAATGATGCTGTCTGTTCTCATGTCACTTGCTTTAATGTTGAAAAATCATGGTCTATGAATATTTACACACTTTGTGATTAATTGAAGATTTTTTTTTGCATGAATAGGTTTAAGTCTCCTCTGAGACTGGGCTTGTTAGAAATTACATGTATTTTGTCAATATTATTGAAGAAATTATGCTTTATATTCAATATTTACATGAGGTTAAATAACTTGAAACCTGATGGGGTCATACGATTTACGATGTCAAGATTTAAATTAAGTGTGTAACTTTCAAATTCATAGAATAAAATAATGTAAGGAGAAAACAAATACTTGTGATGCAACTTGCAAGTTTGTTAAAAGCTCAAAGAACTCTTGCTCCTGTGATGTTTTATAATTAACCCTGATGGTGTTTTATCATGCATCTTTATTTCTGTTTCCTATAGGCCTGCAGTCATGATAAATAAATTGCATAAATGGCACATTGAAGGTACAGCACACATTTGCAAGTTTAACAGCTTTCACATTGTCTGAAGTATGTTTGTGTAAATATTCTATAAATGTACTCTTGTCAATGCGGACTTAAGCCAACATATTCTTATTATATTTAACAACAGTGCAAGATACATTTCTACCAAATCAGGGTTAGCCAGGACAATGAATCAGGTTGGTAATACAGTGCACGACTTATTCACAGAATATGCATGTAAATTAAAAAAAAAAAAAATAAAAAAACAGTGGTGGAATGTGGTGGAAATGGTGGAATGGTGGAAAGTACTACTTGAATATTTCCATTTATGCTACTCTATACTTACACTTCATGGCATTTCAGAGGCAAATATTGTACTTTTTACTTTAATACAAGTACTTAATGTCTTGATGATCCGTTGACATGTATGTTTTACACCAAAAGTAATGTACAACAGAGAAATTATAAAACCAATTTATATTTCCTGGTCAAACAGTGATGGTATCACCTTTGAATCTCATGTACTGTAGTATTGTTCCGTCGTCCCCACAGCACCTGAAGGTAGCATCAGCATACTGTCATTAGATTGGAGGAGCAGGGATAGGGGCGTGGCTAAAGACCGCTGTAACCCGACACCGGCTTCACGCGCGTGTCCTCTGCTATGACTGTAAACTTTCTCCACTAGCTCAGTCAGTCGCGAGCGGCGCACCGTTGGGTTGTTGGTACCACGTCTGTTTCTGTGTTGTAAAGGAAGCTCTTCCGTTAAATATGTCTTATTAACGGGTTAACTCTGTAGTTTGGAGAAAGGAGAGATAAATTACACGCCGGTTGGAGAAATGGAGGCTGTGAGTAAGTGGACCCCGCAACAAGTGGTGGACTGGATGAAAGGTGAGTCTGCTAAATAGTGAGACCTAATGGGTCACTGTTGGGGGCAGCTAACGGTCCTGCTGTTAACTTACATCAGCTAATGCAACACTTTCACCGCCTGAAAATTAGCTTCAGTGGCCAACTATGAGTAAGTTACACACATGAGGAAAAAGACTTTGGTTTAGTTTGTTTGTTTTGTATTAAGAAGCTGGACAAACATGGTTTAAGACATGACAGGACTAATATTTGTAAAGAAAATAGGTGTACTTATGAATATAACGTTATCTAAAAAGCACCAGTGAGTAACAGTGACAAAATCAAAGTAAAAATAGGTTAAGTGTTGTGTGAGTTGTATACTATACAAATAACATTACTGCAAAGAAATACATTAAATATTGAGTGGATATATGGACTAAATGATTATGTGCAGTATGTGCATGTATACAGCCTGTGGAATAACGTTATATGTTGATAGTCACAGTTGTGCGTGCTTATTCAAAAACTGGTGCATTTAACAACTGTTAAATTATAAGTTAAAACAGCAGCAGTGGATGCTTTGATGTTACCGGGTAGTTAGTGCAGACTGATCTGACTGGTTTAATGTTTGAGGTTTTTAAAGTTGTTTCTCAGCAGCAGCTTGATCCAACAAATCACAGATGATATTAACCCATTTAATGTAATAGCTTATATGGTGATTTCTGTTGCTTGTGCTCAAATTGGAGCACTGATCTGAGATTTTGACTGTGGAAAGAAGTTACTTTTAGAAGTATATTCATGGTTTACAACTTATTTATGGTATGAGGTTGTAATTTTATGGAAGATTGGTTAGCTGGCTGTGGTCACCAGTGCAGTGTTCACACATTTTAAAAAAGTTTAACTTGAATTGGCTGTTAAAACTTTAAAGTGTATCATAATGGAAAGTGTCATTTTCAAGTGCCCTTATCATTTCAAGTGTTAATTGTAGGGCTGGGTGTCCCTTGAAATGTCTGATACTAGTGCTGATTATAAGCCTGAGTTTTGGCACTGATATCTTAAACATGTTTTCCACTGAATCGTTTTACTCTTCACAAAAGAAGCCAGTGTTTTTAAGAGTTATGTCTTCCAAACAGTGGCACAAGAACTTTGCTGGAATAAAATTGGTCTAAAATTCCAATTCAAATCAGAAACAATCAAATAATACACAAGATTAAACACACAGTGTATTATACTATATGTAATGATGGTCCAAGGTTATTAGGCTTGTCTTGTGTGTGCGTTGGCTGCAGGTTTTTATCTTGTTTGACTGTCCTATTTCTGTTCGGCTGTTGAACTTGGTTGTTGAGTGGCAGCTGGATGGGATTTACTCACAGCACCGAGCCAGGTATTCGTTTTCATTACAGTGTGTCATTAAGCAATAAACAGGCCCGACCAGTTAACAGATCAGCCATAAAATGTCAATCAGGCCCACAATCGTGGTATGATAAAGACTTGTTTTTAATTACCAGGAGGTTTGAACAAGCAGCAGCAGGAGACGAATCGTTTGCGATGCAGTGTGGGAAGTCACTTTGTCTTGTCCTTGTTTTATGTTTTAATATTTGAGGTTTTTGCACTATAAATTAAGCTAAGTAGAAAAGGAAAGAATTGTAGTCAATGCACTTTTTAAAGACATGCACAGGATTCCTATTACCATTCTGTACTGGAAAACGTGGGAGAAATAACACAGTTTTTTCATGTGCAATAAAACAACAGTCCAGGTGTTACAGATTTGCTGTACACATTGTAATATGTGCAATAACCCTCTTACAATCTATTGTGTCTTGTGTTTTGAGGAACAAGTTAAGCTAAAAATATACTGCACTAGTTTAGTTGTTTTGCAACATTTCGAACATCCTGTGATGATGACAGCTCTTGAATGCACCCGTGGTTTGTGAAACCTGTGAAAGCATGATTTTTTGAAATTAAGAGGTAAATTATGGTTCATACTTATGCAAATGACTGTGAGTGACTGTGGTCAGTTTTTGCAAGAGTCCTGCAAAGTCAATTATTTAAATACTGGGAACATTTATGTCAGACATGTCGCTATTTCTTGATGGTTACAAAGATGGAAATGATGCTTACTTGTCTGTCTGGCTCCAGGTTTGGCTGGTTTTAAACTAGGAAAAATAGAGTTGCAGTTGTTACAGTCACTCAGGCACTGTGGGTCACTTTTATGTTTTATTTTAAAGGCCAGATGCCTTAAATTTGAATTTCTTTTCTTTGTCCCATCTTTGCACAAGTTAAATATACTGCTGTGAGAAAGTGAGCATCCATTCAGCCCAGCTTGACTTCCAAAAGCACACACAGACACACACATATACATACCAATACACATGTCATTTGGCAGCACAGACAATGTAGAGCTGAGTGTAATAAAGTCCCAGACAATACCAGCGCATGACAAAGGTCCGCCTCCTGTCGTGTGGAGGGTCAGGAGGTCACACCGTGACACTTGACTGTGGCAGCGCAGCCATTTAACCAGATCTGACCGTTGTTCTGCATCAAAAGAATGACTAACACATACTGGGGTCAGTCACATGACCTGGATGGTTCAATTAAACGTGTTCTCTCCCTGCGTTTCCTGTCACGCTCTCTGAAAAACATGAAAATACAGACTATCAGCAGGCTTATCTTTTTAAATGGTGGATTTTCTCAACACAGTCTGGGATCTAACAGATGTAGTCATTTTAGCTTCTGCACTGTTAAAAGGTGTTCTCTGCTGTTGTTGTTAAAGGTGGAGGTTATATTTGCAAAGATAAACTGACTGTTGATAAGATAACTTACCATGATCAGAGAAGTGATAAGCAGACACTTAAGGCTGCATTAAGGTATTTTAAATTTCTTTGTCTTTGACCTGAATCCTGTTCTAGTATTTACAGTGTGACTACAGAGCAAAGTGCTGCCTCTGGCTATAGGCTGTGTATGTGTGTTAACTCCCATCCTACGACTCAAGCAACAGGTTCTTTTCATGGGAGGTTCAGCCGCCCTCATTAAAATCCTCCTGTTTGATCTGGAGTTGGTTCCCACAGGCCGGCTGTCACCAAGCCGCTCCAGCTGACCACAAACACCACAAATGCTCCATTCAAATTCCTGAAATAATCCTGGGATATCATAGCAGTTGCAGAGGTAGTCAGGGAATTCCGTGAATTCTTCGGAGAAAGTCAGGGAATATGGGTCAACTTCAGAATTCTGCCAGTCCATCTGATGTGCTAATTTAGACTGAGAAACAAGTTTGATCATCAAGTATATCTCTAAATATGGAAAGTCAGAGTGATGATAAGAACTGTTTTCACATTCAGGATGTCTTGGAGATGTTCTTGGTGTGATGTCTTCTTTAATTTTCTAGTCATGATACTTGCTTAATTTTCTATTCAAATTGGCATTAAAATGTCTTAAATCTTAAATTAAACTTTGTAAATCTCACAGGGTCTCGAATATTTATTATTGCACAGTTAAAGGCCTTTACACCGTGAGGGGTGTGATTAAAAAAACACCACAAAAGCCCAAAATTCTTGGCGGCATCAAACTATTTGTTATGGCAGCAATTCAGATTTGCAACCATTGCAACAGGTCTGCAGTTGTCGTGATGTGATGTCTGTCCCTCACTGGTTGATGACTTTATTTGCATTGCGGAAGCTCAGAAAAATCAGCCTCATTCCCGAAAAAAACCGCATCACTTTTTGCAGGGTAGTATTCTGAATCTGTGAAAGTACTCAAGACAGAAACAGCAGTTTGTACTAGAAAAAGAAAAAAGGCTGCGTTGTCATTTCAAAGATTTCCAAGGCTAGTGCCAGTTTGCATTAGAGGAGTTTAGCAACTGACAGTATATTCCAAAGCTAAATTTCAAAGTAAATACAATCCCAATTTACTAACTTCCTGGTTTAGATCCTTTTAATATATGATTAAATAATCTGACAGATTCCGTGCGAGCTTTTGATATCTGTCAGTTTTCAATGTTTTGGACACATTCCAGTCTACTTTGTAGCTCTCAGATCAGATGGAGTCTCTATGTGGCAGTTTCTAATTTCTTGGAGTGAACTGATCAGACAGCTGTAGCTAGGAGGTAAACACATACATCTCAGGGATGGAGCTCAGCGTGTTCAGACACATCCACATAGTTGTCTGCTCGTCTGGCAGGTGCAGTCACATCACAGCGTAAATGATGACAGGCTGGTTGAGAGTAAGAGACTGAATAAACAAGATGACGCATCCAGGTCTGTTTATGAAGGGGTGTGTAGAAATAAAGCCAATGAACGAAGAGATGGATTGAAAGAGTTTAGCTGTGTGCTCAAGTAAACATGGCTGAGTGGATGCACAGAGAGTTGGGTTTTACGTATGAAGTGTAGTTTAGATTTTGTTAAGTAGAAGTTGAACTGGGTATTTGCCCATATCGGCAACCAAAGATATGCTGAAGTAATTTGGAAAATGTGTCACCAGCCTGCTGTTTGTGATCTTTTTCAAAGATTTTTATTTTTTTTCTTAGTTCATAGTCTGGATTTTCACCAAATCTGATTGCTTTCAAGTCTTCCTGAGGTATTTTGCTATCACACAACTGAAAACACCATGTTTTTGACAAATATTGAAACAATTGCTGATGATCAACAAACCTCTCAAATCCCTTGTCACCTCCAGGGTTTTTATTTCCACCTCATGAAAAGTTGACAGCATATAAAATTAGATTATTATCTTCTACATGAACTCTGTGACCATCATCCTAGTCCTTAGCCAAATCTCAGCACCATTGTGCTTTTAATTTGAAGAATGTGATCTAACAAAGCGCTTCCTGCCTGGTCTCTGAAGCAAGGAAGGTCACGTGTCTTAGAGACTGAGAAACATATTTAATTATCTTGACTAAACAATGTGCGTTTGTTTAGCTGCAGAGGCTCACACAGCTGAAAGCATCTGTTACCTATAATCTGGTCTTATCTCTGAACCCTCCCCTCATAAACTGTATAACTAATTGCTTTACAATCAGTTTCACCATAAATGATTTGCATGATAAAACA